GTACATTGGGTTAAGGTCCATTCTTAGCCCTTGGCACAGCTGGGTGACAGGTAATTCTGTCTTAGACACCATTAGGAGTCATTCTCCTAGTGTGGGACTTTTCAAAGGACCTCAAAATTCTAGCTTGCAAGACTTTGGGCTGAGAATATATGTAAGCTAAGTCCAGACTCCTGACCCATTGTAACCATAGGATAACACATTTGTGTCATTTTAAGCCATTAAATTGTGGCAATTTGTCACAGAGCAACAAAATATAAGAACACAGTCTCCTCTGACCTTTATGATATGCCATGCTTTCTGTCAACTACCCCATTTTCCAAGCCTACATATTCTCTGAAACTACTAGAGTTGCTGTTTCTATGACACCTAAGAAAGAATGTAGGTGGCTGGGAGTCAGAGGCTGAAGCCCAGTCCCTCTTTATTAAAGTGGTCACAGAGAGGCTCATGAAGCCTCTGTCCATCCTCGATCTGGAGGGATTTTCCATGGGTTGACCTGGAAACCACAGTCCTCTTTCATGACAGCCTAATGGCTTATGACCTCAGAAGACAGAGAAAACACAGGTTCTGCTTTTCGTTATGATGACAGCAGCGGAGGAAGTGCTTTAGAGGCTCCGCAGGTTTACTTTCCATGGAGGTGGGGGAGGCAGTGTGGAAGGCAAGGGGCTGCTGTCTCTCTGTTCTGATAATTCTACAGGGATGAGAATAAAATACAATGAATATCTCCATATATCTTCCGAACACACCAGTGATGGTCAACACTGTCAGAGGGCTGTGAGATGGTATTTCCTTGAGAGTCTTTGAAGGAGACTTCCGGGGGAAGTAGCACATAGTGAGGAACTGTTTGGATAGGGAACTGGAAGAGAGAATGTGTGAATGCCTCAGAAATAAGACATCAGATATGACACATCCTTAGACTGAAAGAAGTGAGTGATGGAGGGGGAGATAAGATGGTAAAGGTGGGAACTAAGGAGGGGTCAGACCAGGGAAAGCCATGCAAGCTCACCAGATAACAACACCCATCAGCCAGCTTTTACTATGGTAATTCTGCACAGCAAAGACGCCCTTCCTTTGATGCTTACTCATTTAAAAGCACAATCAGACTATACATACATACATACATACATATATATATATATATGTATGTATGTATGTATTTCGGAGACAGGGTTTCTCTGTGTAGCTTTGTGCCTTTCCTGGAACTCACTTGGTAGCCCAGGCTGGCCTCGAACTCACAGAGATCCGCCTGGCTCTGCCTCCCGAGTGCTGGGATTAAAGGCGTGCGCCACCACTGCCCGGCATACATATATATTAACATAATTATTTATTCTTTGGGAATTTCACATCATGCACCTCAATCCTGCTCACCTCCTTATCCCTCCATGTTCACCTCACCACTGCAGCATCCCTCCCCAAAAAGGAAGCCCACCAAATTAATTAAAAACAAAACAAAGTAAACCAAAGAATCCACCTCACTCTCCAATACCTCTTAATTTACCCTAGTGGCATTGAAAACTGTGGTGTCATGCATTATACCCTTTTGTCCAATCAGCCCCACCCACAAATGTTCATTGCAATGAGTCATTAGTCCAGTCCGGTTCAAGGTCTCTGGCACACCATCATCACTGGACCCTTGCTGAAACTCCTCTCAGATATCTTGTTATTGCCTTGAGTCACAGAGATCCTGCGGATATTGTTCTGTGGGACAAGTCCTTCACCCTCCAGCAGGTCCTAGATGGGGTAGATGTCAGGGTGAGCTAATCCAAGGCCAGGTTGTGGGTCTAGGTGGTAGTTGAGCTAATCAGTCTAGGCCACTGGTACTGACCCCCTCAGGTGAGATGTAGGTTCAGCTCTCGTAGGCCCATGCCATCTGGGCTAGGCTAGCTTTCCCATGGTGAGAGGTGGGACCATCTCTCCTAAGTGTGGGAGCTAGCTATCCCATGAGGGCTGGGGTTAGCTCTCCTGCTGCAATGTCCAGTAAGGGGCAGGGCCAGCTATCCCAGGGCCAGTGAAGGGCAGGGCTGGCTCAGCGTGGTCTTCCTGATTTCAACATGCATGGTTCCTATGAACCCCTATGGTAACATGGGCCAGGGACATCAACATAGACCCCAGACACAGCAAGACCATGGACCCAGACATGGCCCTATGCAGCAGCCCAAGCCCAGATATCATCATGTCCCCAAGTGGCAGTACAAGCCATGTAGACCAGCTTGGCCCTCGTGATGCCATGGCCCTTGGACACCAAAATGATCACTGGTGGTAGCTCAGACTCCGGGCATCCTTGTGGTCTTTGATGGCAATATGGGTCATGGATATCAACACAGACCATGGCTTCGGTAGAACCATGGACCCAGACATAATCCTCAGCAGCAGCCCAGGCCTGGATGTCACCCTGGCCCCAGGTGGCAAGTAGGCCACCCACATCAGGCTGTTCCTCACTGCCTTCAGTTCTTCAGTTCTGCCTCTTTCCACAGCACATGAACTATTCTACTTCTCTTTCTCTCCCATTTCTCCACCACATATTTGCTCATCATAATGGCACCTTGTGGCACCAGACAGGCCTGTGATTGCCTTCAGTTTGGACTGTGAGAACCCAGGTTGGCCAGTGTATGTCTTTCACCTGCCTGAGCTGCATGGCACCAGGCAGGCCCGTGAATCCAGAATATTTTTTTTCTATAACTTAAGAAAATATAAGCCATTTTAATGTCATCCCTGAACTGAAATTGTGAAAGAGCAGCGTGGCTTCAAGGTCTAGCCGAAGAAGTATCTTCAGAATAAAATGGGCAAATACACAGGACTCTTAAGTGTTATGTGTTTGTAGAGAGAGAAGGACTCTCTAGACTGAGTTAGCATCCATTTGGAATCTAAACTGGACATTGGGCTTATCCTTTCTGTCTTCTGGTTGTCTTTGGGTCAACTTCTACATTGGGGCTGTTTCATGACAGAGGACAGAGATTGCAGCAAGGTAAGAGGAGAGCTCTGTCTTAGTTCCTCTTCCTGTTGTTCCTGACAAAGCAGCTTAGAACAATGGATTTATTGTGACTCTGTATTAGTTAGGTTTTCTATTGTAGCAATGAAACACCATGACCAAAGTAACTTGGAGTAAAAAGAGTTTATTTGATTTACACTTTCACATTGTAGTCCTTCATTGAAGGAAGTCAGGACAGAAACTCAAACAGGGCAGGAACTTGGAGGCAGGAGGTGATGCAGAGGCCATGGAGGGAGCTGCTTACTGGCTTGCTTCCTATGGCTTGCTCAACCTGCTTTCTTATAGAACCCAGGACCACCACCCCAGGGATGGCACAATACACAATGGGCTGGGCCTTCTCCATCAATCACTAATTTAGAAGATGCTTTATAACTGGATCTTCTGGAGGTATTTTCTCACTTGAGGTTACCTCCCTTCAGATGTTTTAAGTTGAATAAAACTAGCCAGGACAGGTGTAACATGAATTGCTAAATAATCTTATAATAACAAAAAAAGTTGCTTGTTTGCACTTCCTGCTTACTCAGTTAATATTATTTCCTTCTCAGGTCTCTGAGTGAGCTGAAGATTAGATAGTAAGAGTTTTCCTTGTTAAGAAATTCAGAAAAGAAACTCACTAAGAGGTGGATAAGTGTGTAAATTTGAAAGACATCAAAAGATAGTTTTCGGTTGGTAATACAAGTTAGAATAGAAAGTGAATTAGGTACATTTTGGACTCATCAAAATAGGCTAAATAATGGAGTTTTTGTCTGAATCTGTCAAATGTTAATGGACTAAACATTGTTAATGTGATTCTTGACTATATATATTGTATATACTTATTGTATATAATTTTTTATATTAGTTATAATCTTTTATTATTTTAGACAAAAAGGGGAAATGTGGTGATATATTATGTACCCTAATAAACTTATTGGGGAATCAGAGGACAGAGCCAGCCACTAGATTAGACATAGAGGCCAGACAGTGGTGGCACACACCTTTAATTGTATCACTTGGGAGTAAGAGATCCACTGGATCTCTGTGAGTTCAAGGCCACACTGGGCTGCATGAGAGAAACAGAACCAGGTAGGGCTGACACATGCCTTTAATCCCAGGAAATAATATGGTAGGACACAGAAAGGTATATAAGGTGTGAGGAAACAGGAACTCACTCTCTGTAGGCTGAGGATTTTATAGAGGTAAGAACGTGGCTGGTTTGTTTCGTTTCTCTGGTCTTTCAGCTTTGGCCCCAATATCTGGCTCTGATTTTTTTTATTATAAGACAATTTATCAATTTGTGTTACAGACAGGCTCATAGTTCAAGGTACTTCATGATATAGAGGTCTAGAGGTAGGAGCTTAAGCATCTGATCACACAGAATCCACAATAAGGAAGCAGTAAATAATGGATACTCCTCCACAGCCCCCATCCACCTAAATAGTTCAGGATGACATCCAGAAAATGATGTCACTCACAGTGGGCATATCAATTCACACAATCAAGATAACCTTCCAAAGCAGGCAAAAACCTGTCTTGTGGTTGGTTATAAATTTTGTTAAGTTGATAACTCTAACTATCAATGTTCCTTAAGGTTTCAGCTGGGGAGTGACACATTAATAGTTCTATGTAAGTTCTATTGGTCATGACAAGTCACATAGCCAAGTCAATACAGATGTGCACAGAAGGTCACTCTGGCCGCAATGGGACACAGTTTAGCTGCTCACAGAAAGGACAAGGATATATAATTATAATTCATGGAGGATGTGAAGAAGCGGGGACAATTCTCCAACTTCCCATTATTCTAAGGAACATCTAAACCTGTGTCAGTTTCAAAAGGCATTGTAAATAAAATAACCATATTAATAAAAGAGCATGGCATGCAGCCTCCTTTAGAAGTCCTAAGGGGTGTGCAACCCTTATGACTCTCAGTCACAATTGGTTAGCACAGGCTCAAAGCTTGACAGCATATGTCAAGATTGCATATGTCAGTTTCCATATCTTCTGCTCTATCATTTATTTGTTGTATTAGGCAGGGTTCTCTAATGGAACAGAACTTGTAGAATATATGAATGAATGTATGAAGTATATGAAAATGAATATATGAATGAAGAATGAATATATGAAAAATCCTTCAGGAAAGTAACCTGGATCTCACCAAGGGAACAAGCTGGTAAGCAGGTAGAGACACAATTTGTTTTCTGTTATTTTTTAAATTTATTTATTTATTTTACATCCCAAATACAGTTTTCCATCCCTCTTCTTCTCTCAGTCACCCCACCTCCCCTCTGGCCCCCACCCTTTCCTCCTCCATTTCTATTAAGAAAGCACAGACCTCCCATGGATATCAACAAAACATGGCATATCAAGTTGCAGTAAGACTAGGCACCTCCCCTTGCGCTGAGGCTGGCCAAGGTGGCCCAGTATGAGGAATAAGGTCCCAAAAGCCAGCAAAGGAGTCAAAGATATCCCCTGTTCCCACTGTTATGAGTCCCACAAGGGGGCCAAGCTACACAACTAGTGACACAATTTGTGGAACCCAGTACAAAGGGGAAAAAAGGTCTTTGTTAAAAAATAAAGTTAAAACATCCTTTAAAAATTATAAAGAATTTCAAAAGGGCATTGTAGATGAGTCAAGGCAGGAGCAGGGCCCCATGCAAACTTACAAGTTGTATACATACAGGACAAGTCTCTGTTGGGTCATTTCAATGGCCTGGACTCTGCATACAGGGAGCACATGGGGCCAGGCATGGCTGTTTGAGCGACTGGTCTGAAGTCAGGATTGGAACTGCGGTTTTGATCAGTTCAGGGTCCTTTCTCTCCACACCTCAGACTTTATGCTCTGATTAGTGTGCAGTGCTGGTTTCACCAGGGTTGGATGTTGCATGAGTTTCCCATAACGTAAGTTGTAACATAGGCTCACAAAATGATGGCTTTCAATTACAAATTTGTTACCTCACAGGTCTGGAAGTTGGAGGTTCAAGATCCAAGTATCATTGGTAGTGTTGGTTTCTTCTGAGGGAAGATCTGTTCCTTGTTTCTTGCCTGGCTTCTGGTGGTATGCTGGACATGTTTGGTACATCTTTATAACTGCTGGGAGCATTACTCTACCCCCCCTGTGTACATCTTCAGATGCCTTCTTCTTATACACATTGCCCTCTGTCCAAATTCTTTCTTTGAAGGTGGCCCCAATCATACTTGATTGAGGACTTACCCTATTCTAGGATGACCTCATCTTAAGTATTGAAAGGACCAAGCAGATGCCATAACAGGCAGTCAGTCTTCTCTCAGAGATGAGGCCTCAAATTCAGTTTCATAGGGAGGGCCATGAACAAAAGACATAGGCCTTGCAGTAGCTCCCTTTCTGCACGTACTCTTACTGCTTAAGGTTCAGCCAGTTTGTTTACTGTCTGGGACCCCTTACCAACTTAGAGCTACATACATGGGTCAATGTGAATGTGTGAGGCCAGCCAGCCCCCATGGCAGCTCAAAGACAAAGCCTGGGACTTGTTCAGGCCTGCCCCCAAATGATAACTGTAACCCCCAACCAGTAAATTCAAAGGTTACACACCCTCACCCAATCATATGATGCCAAGGCATGTACCACCCTGTTTGCAGTTTTTACCTTTAAAAACTCCTCACCCTGAGAGCTCAGAGCCGTCCTCCTTCACCTGACTAGCCAGTGTGTTGGATGTGGACCAAGCCTGGGCTTGCTTGTTATTGATAAACCCCTGTGTGTTTTGCATCGGATATTGGCTCTGTGGTGGTCTTGCTTGGGGGTCTCGCGATGCAGCCACAACAGTATCACCTATAAATAACCATACATTCTGAGGCACTGGTGGCATAAGATTTTTAACATATGAAACTAGGAGAACCAACTCAAACCATAACAGCTGTATTTTTTAAGTGTTTGAGAAATGAGGTCATTTAGTAGAGACACAAATATAAAAGGAAGCTGCCTGGTAGCATGTCAGTCCCCTCCATAGTTGCTGGCAGCAGATGGCCATAAACAGCCACCAATAAGCTAAGACCATCAAACACTTGGGGCAACCCATATGTCAGGGAATGTGGAAGTCGGCTTTGAAGCCTGTCACTTGATTAACTGTCCTCTCAAACAGATGGACTTTTCATAGCCCTATGACAGTCCCTGAATCATTACCTCCATTACCCAACAGGTGCAGTCATTTCTTGAGCTACTTGACATGCTGCCTCTCTGCAGAGCCTCCCACCCCAACACTGATTTAATTTACAGGGTTATCCAAGATAGTTTGGTAAACTTGGCTTCTCATTGGCGTCTTCTAGGGACCTTTAAAAACAATCTCTCCATTTAGTTGGTCTGAGGTACAACCTAGGCACTGAAAATCCTTTTTCAGCTTTCAGGTAATTACAGTATGTGGCTAAGTTTGCAAACCACTGGCCTGGAACTTCCCCAGAGGCAGCCATCTGTGTAACTGCAAGGGTGCACGTTGATTGCAGGTAGCATGGCATGGGCTTGCTGGTTGTTGGAAGCAGCCATCTGCGTGACTGTAATGGTGCACGCTGATTGCAGATGGCATGGCATGGATTTGCTGGTTGTTGTTTCTAAATTAAATAATCCAATATCTTTTGCTTTAGCTCTGTAACACCAAATGTACCATTTTTACTTCTTTAGCATAATTTCTTTCAGCTACTTAGGAATCAAATCTTTGCTGTCTGGACCTACTTTAGCTTATAAAGCAGCTCCTCGGCACAGGACACCCACCTGATTGAGACTGGAGGGAACAGACAGGCTTAGACTTGGAGCAACATATGGTAAGTAGCAGAAGTATGGGTCACCACATGATATTCCCATTTTCAACACCACAGAGTGTTAGGGAATATCATTTTAAGGTGTGTTACTTTTGTTTATGTTGCATTTGTTTAACTCTGTGAAGCTGTATTACTGTGCTTGTCTAAAACACATGATGGTTTTTAAGAATTGAATGGCCAATAGCAAGGCAGGAGAAAGGATAGGTGGGGCTGGTAGGCAGAGAGAATATATAGAAGAAATCTGGGAGAGAAGAGCATAAGAGAAGGAGGAGGACCCAGGGGTCAGCCACGCAGCTACACAGCAAGCCACGGAGTAAGAAACAAAGAAAGGTATACAGGAATAGAAAAGGGAAAGCCCTAAGGCCAAAGGTAGATGGGATAATTTAAGTAAAGTTGGCTAGTAACAAGTCAAGCTAAGGCCAGACATTCATAATTAAGAATAAGCCTCCATGTGTGATTTATTTTGGAGTTAGGTGGCAGGACCCCCCAAAAAAAGCCAAAAACAAACAATAACAGGGTATTACATTTAAATGTTATAAACAAGATACACTAACACATGAGGGAATCTCAAACCAACCCCCCCATTCTTTTCTCTGTTAACTCTTGATTTACTATCGGTTTTGCTTCTCATCCTCTTCCTTGTCTCACATTCTCTCTCATGCTGTCTAGTATTTCTCCCCCTTCATATCCTCATTCTCTTTGATTACACAGATTTTTAAGGCTGGGTGGAGGGTAAGGGACAGTCATTAAACAGTGAAAAGATTATGATAATTGAGTTATGCCATGAATATTCTGCATACTCTACAATATTCTAGATTGCTTCTTGCAGAGATCTGAAGAGAAAATATAGAGCCCAAGCACATTGTGGGTCATTATCTTCTTCTTCCTTAGGCCAGTGTGGGGGCTAATATGCTCTGTGAGCCTGTTTACTGGTCTCAGAAAGAACTTAAAGAGGTTAGCTATACACAGGTAATAAATTATAATTGTGATGTTTATAACGTGCTCGTTACCCACTGTGTTCTCTTAGGCATACAGACATGTACAAAGACCTAAGACCAAGACAGGGGGGGTATCAACCTCAGGACGTTTGCCCCAGTTTGTGCACTTAAACTTGTCTTTGCATTGACAGGCACTTCAGAATGAGACCAAGGAAGTAGGTGAAAGTAACACAGGAGGATCAAAAGCCAAGAAGAAGAAAGCAGGGAACCAAAGGTGGAGGACACTGGGACAAATAGCTACTGTTATATACAGACCTTACAAGGCTGGAGCAAACTATAATGGGGGCCCCAGAGAATGGAGTCTGGACCAAGAAGAATCTGGAGAGCACACTGCCCACATTTTGTGTCTGGATATTAGTTGCTTCAGGGGCTCCACATAGACAAGCTGGCTGTTGGAGGCTCCACATGGACAAGCTGGGTGTGGGAGGTTCCTGTGATAAGACTTGGGTGAGGTTATGACATCAGCTGGTTTTAGGAAATGCATCTTTGCTTCCCCTTTATCTGGTGCTTTTAAAGAAAGAAGGAAAATAAAATCTTGAATTGTAGGTTCAGTCCAGGAATACAAGAAGAAAACAAATAAAAAATAATGTAAGCATTTAGATTCTGTTTAACGGGGGCTCCTGATTTCGTTTGCAGTTTTTATTTGGAGGCATTTTGAACCAGTCACCTGAGTCAATATTATCCTTTAGTCTCTCAGTGCTACAGGTGTTGAAACTTTGCAGTGTCTTTGGTACTACCAAGGTGTCTGCTGGGCTGTGGACCCTCCAAAGCCTCTCAGACAAGACACACCCTCACCCCTTCTAGGTGTCCATGTCTGAGGAATTGGGGTTTTGGATTTGAAAATGTGATTTAGTAGTAAGGTGTGAAATTCAACCCATTAAAAAAGTGCTGGTTACAACTGGGTATAAATTTGCAGAAAGGGTAAACTTCATAGTATGTGAATTATCTTTCAGGGAAGTAATTTTGCAGAAGTGGGTAGAAGATTTTTCAGCTATTGCCATAGAGTCTGAAACTCGTATGAAGAGCCCTGGATTCCAGCTGTCTCATCAGGTGTGTTCAAAGCTTTACTCCATGTCAGTTGTTTCACATCCCATATCTACCCGTGTGAGATGACGGGAGAAGAACTTAAATCTCCACCAACAGGATAATGGTAAAGGAATTTTAAAATACCTGTGCTCTGGAGCACAGCACAATATTTTCAATGTGTTTAAATTAAAATAGAAATTTAAAAATGAGAGTTTGACATCTACTGGCATGGAAAGAAACTTCACACATATTGTTCTAGGGAAAAAATAACAAATAAGAGTGTGACTGCATTGTTGTATGGTCTTCTTTCCTGAGTTAATATTTCCCTTATTTTATAATGATACCAGTCATATTAGATAGTGAGTCCATCAAGCTCCATAGAACCACACTTTAAACTTAAACACACACACACACACACACACACACACACACACACACACACACACACAAACACTCACACACATACACACACACACTCACACACATACATACACTCTCACACACATTCACACACTCACATATATACACATACATACACTCTCACACACATTCACACACTCACATATATACACATACATACACATGCAGAAACACTCACATGTACTCACCCCCACACCCCCACACAGACTCTCTCCCTCCCCCCTCTCTCTCCCTCCCTCCCTCCCTCCCCCTTCTCTCTTACACACATATACACACATACTCGCACATGCGCACACACGATTTCCAAGTAAGAACACATTCTGAAGTATTGCTACTGATTTTCATAGAGGGGTATTGCAGTTTCTAACCACTATGTGTTTAATGAGAATGCATGGGCAGTAAAATGATATTGAATATTTTCTATGTACCAAGCACTAAACTAAGGCCCAGAAAGGCAAGGTATTGTTGAACAGGGAACATTATATTAGTTTTTCTTGGTTATATAACCTCTTGCTTTTCTTGGTGTTGATAATTGCCTCTTTTTTCCATATGTTTGGTTTTCTATTTATAAATTACTTCACATTCTCCACAGAACATTATCCTTCTAACTCTTTTTTCACAGTCAAATAAATCAGTTATTCTATTGATCCTCAGCCCTTCTGGGATGAGTCAATTCATATTTCTTAAATTCCTGTATTTCCTGTTCTAATTTGTTTTAGTTGCCCACTAGGGACTTTCTTTCAAAATTATTCTTAAAATCACCTTTGCTTATAGTCTTTTCTGGAATTATTTCCTTGAGGACCTTATTTCTCTAGCTTTTTGGTATCTTCCTCCATTCTGGTGGAGCATTTTGTCCATCAGCTTTTCAAGCAGTTGCTAATTTGAGAAAAAGGTGAGTGCCGCCTCATATGTGATTTGTTCTTTGGACGGGTGTAGACCTCTAATTGAGAAGCCATTGCTAGCAATACTTTCAAATAATTTCTCATGTCTTCTCATTTTTAACATCACTATGAGTCCAGTGCCATAATCTCATCAGCATTTTGTCTATTGCCTTCTGTTTTCCTGTTTTAAAAAATTAAAACTTTTCTCTTTGCCCCTCTTGTCTAAAAACACGATGGTGTGTCTTGGTTTGACTTCTTTCCTTGTTTTAAATCCTCAGGACTAGAATAGGAACAACATCTTTTCATCAGAATTATGCTTTTCAAAACCAAGACATTGTCTTGTACTTTTTCTTTGGCTATTTTCTTTCCTCTATAATAATACTTGTTCTATTTTTTAGGTCTCTTTTTAGTGAAAATATCAGCTTTCTTGCATCAGTTCTCAAGTTAAACATATGTGTGAGTCTGTGCATCTGTATCCTTTTTATTGTTCCATTTTCTCTGAAATGTCCTCAGTTTTTATATTTCAGAGTTCATGCTTAGTTCTTTCAAAATGTTGGTTATATTTTAAGTCACCCAGAGCTCCTTAATGCACTCTGAAAATTCCTTTATTTATGCTCTCCTGTTACATGGGAATTTCATGAGTTCTAATGATATGATTTAATACAAGATACCATGGTAGTTAATACTAATGGAGCAAAGTTGTATTTTAAGAACTTTCAGAGTTAGCTCCTTTTGTCCTCAGAACCAAATGAGTAGAGAATAAAAAGAAGGGAAGAAAGACATGTGATGGTAGAAGCAGAAACACATAGTAGGGTGGCCATAGATGGCACATGCCCACCACCAAATGACCATGAGTACCACATGCCTCCTGAATCCAGGCATTATTGTTTGGCATAAGGGCTGGGAACCCGGAGGGGGACTAATATACCATCCCACGGGGTTCAGGTCCTTTCATGTAATTGGAAGCTAATATCATATGCCACTTGTCAGCCCCTGATGAATTCCTCCCCCAGTGCCTTGAAGCAGCCAGAAGCTCTGCAGGAAAGGCAGGCTGCAGCAGGAGGAGGAGGGCCAGGGAAGGGAGGGGGCCAGGGCCTTCCTCCTTCTTCATGAACACTCTGATGGAAGACTGTCAGCTGCACTCCCACTCCCTCTGAAGTCAGTATGATGCTGCATCCATCCTAAGCACATCAGAGCAAGAGAGCCTGTTTCAATAAGCAACATTATTCATGAAAACTTTGTTCTCCTTTCCCACTTCCTTCCAAAATAAGAGAGACATGAACTTGCCGTGAACTCATCTGCCTCCTGCTTGCTTTTTTTTTTTTTTTTTTTGTTCACACATGTTATCTTCTTGCCATGGCCACATAACTCTAGACAGTATTCAGGCAACAAATGCTGGGGAGAACAGCCTGATGAGGGAGAAGCAGATGTGCCAAATCCCTTGAGTCTAGGGTCTTACCACAGAGAATGGAGAGATGAAGAAAGTATGACCACGTCCAATAGTAGAATTTAGAGCTCATTCATTGAATCATGTGCGTAGTTAACAAGCATTAACTGATCACTTCATGTGTACTCTGCTGTTAATATAAACAAATATCAGATGTAATTTCTATTCACAGAGGAACTATTTACTGATTTAAATCTGCAACAAGGTAATTAGAATGCATGTGGTCCCTGAAATTTATTGAGTTGTTATTGAACACACATAATTCCATGTTAGAATAATCCCTGAATTGTTCAGATAGTCATTAAATTTCTTCCCAAACACAAACCACTGTGAATTCTACCCTTAAGTAACACGAGACCTGAGATAACATTTATTCTAAATTTCCAGGATTTGCAGCCTCAGGGAAGGGATGTATGTCAGGTGTCTCTAAGTTCTATGATGGGGCTTATTTGTTTTATACAGAAGGGATTCTCTCTTTTGAAAATATCTCAAAAGTTATATCTGAGAAGGAAATACTTTATTTTAGCTAAACCAAAACTGCTGAAGAACATATTTGTTCTGGGAGAAGCATATATGCATTTGTACATTTCACTAATGTACTTTTAAAATAGTGAGAACCAAGCTCTGTGAGTATCATGGAAGCAAGCATCCCAACATTATTGTTTGCTCAGCATGGCCTGTCAATTCTGGTAACCAAAGATTTTCATTTATTTGTTTTTACATAGGAGGCATCATAGAACTCTGCTAGATCTGATCAAGAAAGTACACAAGAATGCATGCACACACACACACACACACACACACACACACACACACACACACAAACACTCACACACACATTGTGGCAGTGCTTCAGAGAAAAAGAACCAATGGGATATATGTATATATGTGTGCATGTGTGTATATAAATACACATCTACATGTCTATATTGTACATATACATGCATATATGTATCTAGATATAAGGGATAGGTTTACTATTAGAAGTTAGATAATCTATGATCTATTATCTACAAGCTGGACAGAGCTCAGTTTGATTCTTTTGACCATCATGCTGGAGTCCCCAGATAGTTGTATTTTTGATAGAAAATGAGCAGGTGTTTTACACGAAAATATGCACTTTGGAAGAAGGAAAAGAGCCCTTAGCTTGTATGTCTGTTAGACATCTAACAGCTGCGACACAGAATGTGCTGTTGATGTGTATCTAAAGCCCAGGGACAGGCTAAGACAAACGCTGGAATGGAGAGCAAAGTCTGAGGTGTGAACATTTCTGTCTCTGCGCCCTATAAATGACTCTGAGAAGCTTCTTGGTGTTTGCTGACCCTTCAACCTGTTCATCTACAAAGTGAAAGTAACAATGGAGTTTACATCACAGATGTCTTGTGAAATGGATGAGTTCAGTGTTTGTTAGGAAATGACTTCATATTTCTGAAATGCCTGGAGTCATATCTGATGCAGACTGATCACCAGGTGGAATGTTGGTTAGGTGAATGTCTATAACCCACTCTCCAGCAATTCTTTTTGAAGTCTTTTGTAAGGGGGCTGGAGAGATGGCTCAGCAGAATAGAACACTGGCTGCTCTTCCACAGGACCTGGGTTTGGCTGCCGCTCACAATCTCCCAAAACTCCAGTTTCAGGGCATCCAACACTCTCTTCTTGTCTCTGTGAGAATTGCATGTGTGCAGTATACAGACATATGTGCAGGCAAAACACACATACAATAAAAAAATATAAATGTTTGCAGTCTCTCCTGACCGTGTGATCATGCCATGGACTCTCTTTCTCTGATCTTCCATTTCTCACTTTCCTGCACTTTCAATAATATATTCTTTGTAAATTGAGACCCCAGGTCTGAAGAATACATATCCGACTGGAGAACCATATATATGTTTTGGCATCTCACTAACATATTTTTGAAGTAATAAAGATTAAACCCTATGAATATCACAGATAACAGAAAGTGTTCAGTTTTGTATCTGCTTAGCATGGCCTGAAAGTCCTGATGACAAAGGTTTTCACTTCAATTCACCTTTTTGTTTTACATAAGAGGTATATGCACAATGGAACCTGCTGGAATCCAAGTAAGAGTATTGTTTACCAATCATCTAACTATCTATCCATCCATCCATCCACCCACCCACACATCCACACATCCATCCATCCATCCATCCATCCATCCATCCATCCATCCATCCATCCATCCATCTATCTATCTATCTATCCATCCATCTATCTACCTGGAAAAGAACTAATATGTGTGTAGTATGTCTGTATAATTACAGGTATATATGTACGCCTGTGTACAAATACACACACACACACACACACACACACATGCATATGTGTGTGTATGAGAGAGAGAGGGAGGTGGGAGATAGACAGATTTATTATTTGTACTAACTAAATTTATTATTTGTACAATTTTGGAAACTTAGATATTTTCTGATTTATTATCTAGAAGCCAGGGTTGAGATTTAAATTCAGATTTTTCTAACTCAAGAAAAGGAAGCTTTTAATCACCATGGAACCTCCCGATACAACCTCCAGACCATGGTGGGTGCTCATAAACACACTCTTGCTGCTTTAACCACGTGAATTAAATGTAACTGAAGACTTTCCTCTACAACATCTAGGTTGACCGTATATCCCTTCTGTGGTATAGCAACCATATCAGCCCTTGGCCACACAGAGCTTCTTCTCAAGTAAGGTCTGACATCACACCAAAGACCATGCCATCCAGACTCTTATGAAATGCCTTTCCTGTGTAGCCCCACTGCCATTTTTTTTAATTTCTGTGTGGAAGAGGGGATGCAAGGATCCAGGCATGGATGCATTGTCCCAGCATTCCCTGTGGCTAGACACCTGGCAGCTGAGTGGAAAGGTCTTCCTCAGCAACAACACTTCACCATTAAAGTATTAACCCCCACCCCTTCTCAGGAGACTACTGTCCAAAGAAACAATATGTGGAGAATTCTTCTAATGTGCCAAGGTGTTGGGCAGTATGGAGAAGTCTGAAGAAGGAGAAGATGAGGTGAGTACCCTGTTTCTATGGTGGGTATGAAATGAAAGCCTGGGGCCTGGAGGAAAGGGCCTCTAAAGGCAGCTCTGGAGGGTTCTCTGGGCAGCAGTACTGCTCTTGTAATCTAGGACACAGTTTCTATGAGGAGGACACTGAGGTTGGAGGGGTTTCCTGAGCAGGTCATGCAGCAACAGCAAGAGCCAGTCTTGGTTTGTGACTAAAGCCCCTTAGCTCCAAAGGTCACACAGTCCAGAGCAACCAGGTGGTTGCACTCACCTGTCCTCTGTTCCCTTTCCCTAGGTGACATCTGGCCACATCTGCAGATAGTTTTGATCTTCTATACTTAGGAACAGGATACTTGTTTGCTTGAAAGTGTGTGTGTGTGTGTGTGTGTGTGTGTGTGTGTGTGTGTTAGACTGTGTCTTGTTTGGTAGCACAGTCTGATGTAGAAGTCACTATGTAGTCCATGATGCCCTCCAGTCGGCAATCCTCCTGTCTCAGAGTCCTGAGTGTTAGGATTAGAGGAAAGTGCCACCATGCCGGCTAAGAGTTGGGGTAATCATTCCTGTCACTGAGTAGGTAAAGGTCATGGACTCCGATCAGCATCCTACCACGTGTAGACAGCATCCCAAGATGTCAGTGCTGTCTAGGTCTGGGAAAGTTCTTTGAAGGGCTCATTTCTACTTTGCACTTAATATTTAGCAACATTCGCTGAGTGTTTTTCCACACCAGCTACTTTGTAATGTTTTAAATAATTTCAGGTTATTCTACCACATATCTGTTTTATAAACCTGCCATTGTTTAGATGCGGATCATTTACAGAGCAGGGGAATTGCAAACAGTGCCGCCAGGAAGATGTGGCTCTAAGCATGACTTTGCAAAGAGATGAATTCATTGGTAAGATACATGCACAAAAGATCCATACTTCACTTTGCTCTTTCCAAATTGCTCTTTGAAGGTGCTACACTCATTCACATACCTTCCTCTGGCAGTGAAAATGCACATTTTGCACACTCTCACCCACGCTGGGTTTTAGCAAACATTTGCAATTTTTGTCATTTTGATAGATAAATAATTTGATCTCGTTGCTATTAAAATAGCTTCTCATTATTCACAAGCGTGGTTGAACATCTTGGACTTGCCTTAGTTATTTGAAGTTCTTAGAAATGTTCCCATGCTGCTGCAGGCACAGGAGCTGTGCCCTTTCAGGAGGAGGCTTCATTTTCACACCCTTTCTCCCCATCCTGGAGGCTGGCTGCTTCTCTGGCAGAGCCCTGGGAAAGTGTGAAGATGCTGTTACCACACTTCTGCGAGTACATGCTTCTAGGAAGCCTGTATATTAAAACTCTGGTGGGGAATCCCAAGTCAACCCACCTAGCTGGCTATTGTATCCCAAGCCTTTACCTTTATAAGCAGAGGTGTTTTTTTATGTAAACTCCAAGGAAAATTAAAATTATAAAACACAGACGAATCAGAATGTTGCCTGTGAACAAGCACGTTGGTTTGTCATAGGCTAGTTACAAAACGATATGAATGAAGCTAAAAGGATATCTTTAGTTCATTAAGATTGAGATCAATATCAAGAAGGCAGATACCCAAATGGAAAAGGAGTTTTAATGTCACCTCCATCTTTCCAGGAAGCAAGGGAGCAAAGGGTTACAGATCTCACTATTCAGCAAAGGCATGCACACCTGTAGAAGGCAGGCATTCATTCTCACCTTGGATGGTCTGGGAGTGAGGTCCTGTGCCTTTAGGATAGACAACATTGCAGCCAATACCCAGATCAACACATGTGCTACCACTCGGGTTCCCAGAGAAGACAGCCGTGGATTAGGCTGTATGCTGAATACAACTAACTCTTCAACAATGAGCTTCCAAGGGTCTGGTAACTCACCAACACTTGTTTATTGTGCTTCCAAATGACAGTTGCTCATTTATATATCAAACACCATATCTGTTATACATTAACACTTCTTCAGCTTTTGGGAGGGGAGAGCAAATATAATTGTCTCCAAATACGTTTTTCTTATTATGACCCTAAATGATGTCATCACTGTATCTAAATACCACCTAGGTGTGTGCTTAGAATATTCCCTGCCTCTTCCTAAGGGATGGTTGGGTATCGTAGCCCACTTATATGATTTTTGGTTGTATAACTTGCTTAGAACAATAGAATGTGAGCCAAAGTGATGGAGATTCTACTTCTACAGTATTTCTTTTCCTGAATTATATGATCATCAGCCTTCTACAGAGTAGGGTCCTCGTCTATCAGTCTTAACCAAAACCTGTTTGTTTTGATAGATGTGACTTCTGAAATCACAAAATGTAAAGTCCTATAAGGTTGGTGATGGTTTTATTTGTTTGTTTGTTTAACATGTTTGCCATGACTTTCTTGTAGATCCACATAAAATTTAAAATCTGTTTGGCAACTGTTGTAAAACTAGGAGCTAGGACTGTGATATGTCTCAAGTTGACTCTTGAGATAAATTTAGAGAGCATTGTCATTTTAGCAATACAGTGTCTTCTTACCCATGAATATAGGATGTCTTTCTATGTATTTACTTTTGATGTTCCATCAGTTGTGTTTAATAATGTTTTAGAGTTTTCAGTGTCTCAGGCTTCTGTTGAATTCTTTTGTTGCATTCCCTAAGTATTAGTCATTTTTTTTATTTCACTGACAATGAAACTGTTTCCTTAGCTTCTTCCTTTTTGGGTTTGTTCATTGTTAGTGTGTATGAATAGAATAGGGTTCTTTTGCATAGTTATCTTGTATCTGGTTACATTTGCATATAATTTATTAGCATCATTTTGAAATATTTACTTAGGAATTTCTTTAGTCATCACCTCATTGTCTGCAGACACATGCTACTTCTGCTCCATTCTTTCTCACGTGGAGGCTATTTACTTAATTTTCTTCAATTCATTATCTTAGATAAAAACTCTACCATGATGTTAAATAGATATGACAAGAGTAGACATCTGGGTCTTGATTTTGGTCTTGGAGGGAAGCATTTAATCTCTCATCATTAATTTTGATGCTAGATGTGGATTTTTCACAGAGATAATTTCTTTTTTCTTGATATGTTAACTACAGGCTTGAATTTATACTCTATAAAGTACTACATGATTAGCTTTCTCATTTCATTTATTTTTCTCATTTTCATATTAGTTCTTTGAGAATGTCATATAACATATTTTGATCATATTCATTCTCCTCCCCAAACTGCTCTCAGATCCATCCCCATCCCCTACCTACCCAACTTTGTGCCTTCCTTAAATAAACAAATAACCAAAACAACCACAAAGAAACCCTCAAGTATAGTATTGCTGCCTATATGTGCTTGGATATGTAGGTATCCACTAAAGTATGGTTGACCTATCAGGAATATACTTTTAAGAAGAATAACTCCCCACTTTCTCAAACTCTAACAACTGCAAATAGCTCCTTATATAAGGGTGAGACTTCAAGCCAGTCTCCATTTTCCACGTGGGGATATTGTTGGCATTAAGGTTGCTATTAGCTGTGGTAAGTCTATATGTGTAACTACCTAGATGTGTCTGAAAAACACAATTTCCTTGTACTTGCTCACTATCCACCTCTTACAATATTTGCACCCCTATTTTGCAATGATTTCTGAACCTTGGGAGGAAAGGGTGTGATATAGATGTCCATTTAAGGCTGAGAATTTCCAAGTCTTTCCTTCTCTACAGCTTGACCAGTTGTGAGTCTCTATGTTAAACTACTGCAAAAAGAACCTTCTCTGATGAGAGATGTACTAATCTATGCATATAAAAGTAAGTAATTGGGAATTGACTTAATGCTAGCCAATCAAGCAAAGTAGTAGTAGGTTCTCCCCTAGCAATTTTTGATCTATCTACTTACAGGTTCTTGACCCCAGCAGTGGTGCCAAGTATGAGTCCCAACTTGTGGAGCAGGTATTAAATCTAACCAGGAAATGATTGGTTATTCCTGGGACATCCATATTGCACTATTTGGAATATCTTGTCAAGCTAGCTGTTATTACAGTTCACAGAGTGAGCTTGATAGTTACTTAATTTCTTCTGGTAGCATGTATAGCACCTTCTAGTATTATGAAAGCTAGCCAGTAAGAATGGAGCTTCTAGGTAAGGTTTCTCTGTGTTTTATTATTCAAATATGTGGTATGTTTGGTAAAAGGATCTTACCATCAAGTCCTGGACTATAACCAAGAGCATTGGCAATAGCCTCCATTGTCTAGGGACTGTATGGGACCTCGTTGGTTGTACAGGCTGCTTTTGTGTGTGTTGACTTGACACAAGCTAGACTCATCAGAGGAAGGAGCCTCAGTTGAGGAAATACCTCGATGAGATCCAGGTATAAGGCAAATTAGTGGTCAGTTGTGGAGAGCCCAGCCCATAGTAGGTGGTACCATCCCTGGGCTGGTGGTCTTGGGTTCTATAAGAAAGCAGGCTGAGCAAGCCAGGGGAAGCAAGCAGCTCCTTTCTATGGCCTCTGCATCAGCTCCTGCTTCCAGGATCCTGCCCTGATTTGAGTTCCTGTCGTGACTTCCTTCTGTGATGAACAGCAATGCTGAAGTGTAAGCCAAATAAACCCTTTTCTCCCTCTTTGGTCATGGTGTTTCATTAAAGCAATAAAAACCTTAACTAAGAAAAATTGCAATTTGTACCAGGAGTGGGGTATTGCTGTGACAGACCTGACCATGTTTTGGGGAGGATTTGGGAAGGCTTTTGGGACTATGGGCTATAAGAACAATTGAGTGTTAAGAGCTCAATGGAATGTTCTTTAGGAACTTGGAAGATAATGTTGAGAGAAGTACAGAGAACAAAGGCCTGACATGCAAAGTTTCAGAGGGAAGTTTAAAGATTTTATCAGGGTCACTTGTTATTTTGAATTAAGATCCTGTGTTTCTGGTTGGCTGGAGCTGAAGAATCAGCTGCAATTAACAAGAAACCAGAACTACTAAAGCAAAATTTTGCCCTACTGGGATACTTGATGTTGGTCAGCTGGAGCTAAGAAATTAGTGGTGATGAAGAAGAGACCAGCATCACTGAAGTGAAATCTTCTGGGAAGTGTTTCCTGAGAGCATAGAGAAGCTATGTTCCAGAAGCAGCTAAGGTTGTACCTCATGGTGGCAGCTGGACTTGGTGATGTGTAAGAGTCATCCAGGTAGTACTGAACCCAAGTCCTCTGCAAGAGCAGCAAGTGCTCTTAATTGCTGGTTCTTCTCTCTGTCCTTCAAACATACTTTTAAATAATACTTGAAAGCTTCTTTGGGAATGTGTGACTCTTTGAGATCAACAGAAATCATTCATCCAGTTAGCGTAGTTGACTCATTTCCTGGTTGTGATTGCTTTCATTCTCATGTTCTCTCACTTGCTTTTTCAATATTTCTCCAGCAAGAAATGTAGATTTCTCTTTAAGGGCATTGGTAAGGTTCATCTTGACTTCCCAAAGATGAACACATTGAGTGACCCACTTGTTCCAATCTGTCAAGATCTTCCTGGTTTTATCATTGGAGGACTCACAACTGGGAAGTCCTCTCAGTCTCAGACAAATTAAAATAGATGGTCATCTTACAGGTGTGCTTCTGGGACTGGGGATGTAGCTCAGCTGGTGGGATGCCTGCCAAGTATTCCCTAAGCTGTGGTTTTATTTGGGGTTTACAGTTCTTGAAGAATAGGAGTCCATCACCATCATGGCAAGAGTGAGGGTGGGGTTGCAGCAGGCAGACAGGCATCACTGGAACAGCAGCTGAGAGCTTACATCCTGATCCATAGATAGGAAGCAGAGAGGGTATACTGTGAGTCCTGACTCTTTGGAACCACCCTCACTGACACACCTCCTTAAACAAGGCCGGATTTAATCCTTCCCAAATAGGTCCATCAACTGGAGACCGAGCATTCAAACATACTCTCACCTGCTGTGCTGACTCTCCAGCCCTGTGCCCTCACTGCTTGTTTGCATTGAGTATCAGGGTCAGCTAACAACCTTTTCAGTTCTTATCTCAGCATGTACCCATCTCTAGATATGCACACAGCCTTGCATACATCTGTGACCTTCTAGATTTTCAGAACATGTAGATTTTCAAAAGTCTCTGTGGACATCCCATTCTTCACCTTTTCCTTTTAAGTTTCTTTTAAATCAACTTTTTGTTTGTTCAATTTTTTTTTTTTTTGCTGCCTCTGGCAGTTTCTGTGTTCAGAAATTGCCCCTCACTGTTTTTTGACAATGGCTTGAGGGTGAAGGTTGTCTTGTGGAAAGCTTTGAATCAGTTCAAGTAAACACATGCCGTGGGAGTTATTGTTTCCAGGAAGCTGTAAGACAAGCCAAAGATGACAGTGAACCGAGACACTGGGTTCTGGGTGCTCAGAATGAGTTCTGCTCATCCCAATGACCGGAAGCCTTCTGGTCCCACCTGTGTGCTGGTTGCTGGTTGCCAAGGATACCATGGAATTGAGGATGCATAAAAGAGCAACGTCAATGCCACAAAGTCTTAATAATATTTAGTAGTGTTTTCCTTAATAAAAGATTTGTATAGTTTTGCAAGCATTTAGGTAATTTCCAGAGTTCTAGAAAAGTCAATTTTGATATTTTTACTGACATTTTCATTGCTTTTATGAGACAGCAGATTTGGAGAGGTTTTTATTGTGTAATTTCCACTGTGTGCCTCTGATGTCCCCCTGATGGACTTTAAATACATAGCTGAATGCTTTGCTTTAATAATCCTTTTTTGTTAAATGCTGCTCCCATAATTCTCAGTGTTTCACAAAGAGAGTGATAGAGTTTGCTGTATTTATTATATCCTTCTACTTATTACAAGGAACTTCTGCATAGCAAGCACTTCATGTGTATTTGATGAATCCAAGAGTGAATAAATGAGTGAGTAAGGTTTTGTGACAGATAAAGAGTTAAACCCAATGAAAACTTAAAATCAAATGGTTACCTTACTCAGGTGTGGTCTTATAGCTATATAAGCTATATATTTTTACTCTAAAGTGGAATACATTAATGGATGCAAGGTCAATTTTTAGAATTCGGAGGGGGTAAAATCAACATTTTAAAATGAATAAACAATGTATCTTAAACAGAAATTTGTCATATTCTCAATTTTATATAAAGAGGAACTAAGTCTCTTATCTGTAGCAATTGTCTTAAGGTCACAGAACAGCCTTGTGTTAATCGGTATCTGACTTTGACATCAGTATCTATAATCATTTATCAGTGGGGGCAGAAATATAGATTAGTGGTCAGACATACAAGGTTTAGAATCAAAATATTTCTGAGTTCAAATTCTAGTCTTATACATATGTGCTACTGCTCCCAGATAGCTATGCATCCTGGACCTCATTCTGTTCATTTGGATCAATGGAAGCCTAGTAACCCTAGTCTTTAGAAGTCGGGGTGCAAAGTGAATTCAGTGATGTATGCAAAGTGTTTATGCATGGAAAATGCTAAATAAACACCACATTCTAGTTGCCTTAAAGTAAAAAAAAAAAACATTTCAAAGTTTTTAACAGGCAGGAAATGGAAAAGGGATGTGGATTTGCTTTTGTTCCTCTAACAATTATATTATTTTAGAACAGTTCTTTTATTAAAGGGACAATGGCACAACATTCTTCTGGGGAAATAATTCTATTTTAAAAATTCACACTGAAAGTCTTGAAGTTCAACTTCTAATAGTGTATATCCCAAAGGCTTTGATCCTGTTGGGTATCGGAGTCACCTCCCTGTGCCTCCGAGTGAGCACTGTGAGTTGGCTGGTTTGTGTTGCATAGAATATATAACTTCTTCAAACTCTTGTGTCAATGATTATCTGTAGGCTGTAAATAAAGGATGCTCTGCTTGGGAGGATTTGCAATGATGAGTAGTTGGAGCTTATTTGGCACATTCATTGGAAAAGATGAAATGTTCATGAGGTGTGTTATTTACCAGCAGATTCCTGTCCAGCTAGTTATGTTCTCCAAAGTGGTGGTCATTGCTACTTCTCCATCCCTGTCCCAGTCATGGCATCAACCTGGCTTGAGACTCAAAGGTTACTTCTCTGTCCCTTTCTACCTGCTCTTCTACTGGCTTATTTTACCTTGTCAGCCAAGGGAATAAGTATGAAATGACTCATACAGAGATGCAGACAACTGTCATGACTTTTGGATGTGAAGGGATTAGAAGCTGCAGCCCACATCATACCATATCCATATGGACTCATATAAATGAGGTAGAGAAAACAGATTCAATTACTTTTGAACCTGCTGAAGTATTTGTGTGAATGCATATATGTATGAATATAGATTTGTGTGTGCATGTGCCTTTTAATGGCATGCATGTCTCATTACATTCATTTGTATCTGTTTGCATGCATGTAGGATTTGTGTAACTACATGCCTGTATGCATGAACCTGGGACATGCCTGAGCTAATGTGACTCAATGTGTAGTGATTAAGCAACAGGCTCTGCTTGTAGACTGTCTTGCTTACACCAAACTTCACCATTGGCTCCTGGAAGAAAGAAGTTAATCTCCACAGAGCTCAATTTGCACATCTGCATAATGGGAATAGATACGACTGAAGTATCCAGATGAAAGGATTAAACAGCATTATATATGAAATACAGTATTGGAACAGTGCCTACTACAGAGTAAAAGTCCAATAAATTCTACCTGGAAGCTACAGCACTCTATCACCCTTTGTTCCTTTTCTTTGTTTTGTTTTTTCATTTACTCACCAATATATTTCACTTACTATTTTCACCTTTCCATCACTAAATCCACAAATGTATGCTCAAGGGCCAGCTTATCATCAATTTTCTAGAATGCTGCTGCCCAATCCTCAGAATCCAGCAGATCCTTAGTAATTAATTATGGTCAGTTATACACATTTGGCTCTGTACATATCTGTCCTTGTGTCTGTCAGTGTGTGAGTGACTGTACCCAGCATGAGGGTGTCTGCCTGAGTATATTTAGGACTATGTGTCTATATGTTGGGCGAAGTGATCCAGCCAAGATTTCCAATATGGCAAATGTCTGCTGTGGTCTCATGTTTCCATCTGCAAAGTGCTCTTCAGACATGGTGTGAGATTGATGGGCATTGGTTCCTAGGTTACAGCAGGGAAATGGAGGTATTTATCCACTTCTCTTAAGCATAATTTTTAAGTGATTATTGTATTTCTTCCCCAACACTGAATATGATGATAGTGATGCTGATAATTGTGGTGTACATGGAGATGTACTATGAAGACCTTCCAAGCAGGACACAATGCACAGGTATGGGGGGTCTGGCCAGCAGACAGCCTGTAGATTTTTGTTTAGGTGCAAATAGCCACTTGGTCAGAGATCACATCCTTCCCAGGACATCTTATGACAGAGTGAATGGGAAGAGATAAATCTGGCCATTTGGGCCTGATGATGATCTTTCTGCTTATTGTAGTACTTGTTTCCAAGTTGGGTAAAAGTTTACTAGATACGCCTCATTCTACGTGTCTCTGTTCATCTCTTTTTTTTCACAGGTGATGGCTGCCAAATGTTTTGCCTCCAATTCCTTCCTGGCCTAAGGATTGAACATGAATAAATATGCAGCCTCCGCAAACCCATCTCGGCATCTGCTCCCAGAGAAGCCAGTCTGCAACCATATGAAGTTCCAGTGAACTCTATTATGCTTGCCTATGTAGAGATTGCTCCATTGTGCTACCACTTAGGCTCACAAAACAGCTTCCTTGGTTGTTCCTGTCACCGATCACATGTTATGGATGTGTGAGCATAGGCTCAGAGACAGCAATGACAAGCTCTAAGTCACAGCAAGTATCTCAAGGCTCTTTATTTAGAGCTGGAAAGGAGGCTAGGTGTTACAAAAACTCCTGCTTAGTCTGTTATTTGTTTAGAAATGGGGCCACTGTACCCTAGACTACACTCAGGTGTGAACAACAAGAAGAACTAGCTAATGTATGATGCCTTCAAGACTGATAGCAGTTCCTGTCATTTGGGATATGAACTCCATCATGTTGTTGGACAAGATACTTTGCTCGGAGTCAGACAAGTATGCTAATAACCAGAGAGTGAGAACTCTTCTGATAAGATTAGAGAAAAGACTTGGCATCTGGATATTAATTTTTGTGTAAGTTCCTTCAACATATACACTGAGAGCCCACCTACTGCAGATTTGGTGAGGAGCTATGTGGACTCAACAGCTCTGTACACACATTCCTGGAAGGCAAGATGGCAGCCAAGAAAATTATAAGAAAACAAGGTTATTTCTTGCTTAACATTTTATTTTCTTACTTATTTTGTAACTGTGTTTTAATTGAAACAGAATCACCTCGATTATGAATCCTGCCAGGGAAGCAGGTGGGCTGACTGTGGATACTCGCCTTTCCCCTATTCCTCCAGATCCAATTCCCAAGTCTTATCCTTAGCTCTATAACAGAACACTTGCTGCAGCCTTCCCTGCCCCATGCCCCATCTCCTGTGGATCCCACAGACCTCCTAATCTCCACCCCCACACCAAACTCATTTCTTTATCCCAGCACTCAACTCCAGCAGACACTCCCTGCTAACCCACAGGCCATGCTTGCCAGGGAAGTAATTATGCTGACTTCAGTTCCTCACCTCTCCTTCTGCTCCTTCAGATCCAATCCCCTAGTCTCATCCCAAGCCCTGTAGCAGAACAACTTCTGTGGTCTCCTTTCCGCTCTGAGCCCATTCACAATAAATCACAAAGATCATCTCCAATGGTCCTTTCCACCAAATCATCGCAGCATCCCGGCCTGGCCTCCAACACTAGCAGGTATTCCCTGGGAGCACACCAGCTGAGCAGGCCAGGGAAGCAGGAATGCAATCCTCTAACCCATTCCTAGGTCTGCAACAGCATATCTACTGCAGCCTTGCTTTCCCCATGCCCACATCTCCCATGGATCCCACAGACCTTCCCCTCCTAATCTCCATCCCCAACTCTGCTTTATTCCAGCTCCCAACTCCAGCAGACACTCCCTGCTAAACAATATGCCACTCCTGCCAGGAAGCAGGTAGGCTGACTGAAGATCTTCCCCTCTCCTTCCATTCCTACAGATTCAATCTCCCAATCTCATCTCCAACTCTATAGCAGACTTTCTGGGATGACCTCTCTTTACTCTCAACCCCAATTCCAAGGAGACTAGGTAAGCATATCCTGGTGAAACCCTTTGCTTTCCTCCCTCCTGTGAAACCCCTCAGACCTCTAACCTATCCTCAATACTCTCAGCTCCCAGTAACTAGAAATATAATTTACCTGGACTCCCCAGTGGCCACACCTATCAGGTCCACAGAAATTTTTCTACCAGGCAACACACAGAAACCACACTCTAGTAAAATCCAGAGAGGAAATAGAAACCAAGGAACAACAACATAACAAAAAGACAAAACACAACAAAGACAACCAGATATCAGCACCTAGGCCTATGATCTTCCCAATCTCAGACTGCTCGATATCAGCATAAAATAATAAATAACAGACAGGATAATATGTCGCTGCTAGAGCTCAGCAACCCTACCACAGCAGGCTCTGAATATTCCAACATAACTGAAGCACAAGAAAGACCTAAAAACAGCCTTTGTGAATATTATAGAGTGCTGCAAGCCACAGGAAAATGCAATGGAATTCAGCTACTATCACAAAAGCTACTACTTAGAAAAGTCAAGAACTTTTCCTAAGATCAAGCCATGGCTTAAGAAGTTTTGGTGATATTTTAGCTTTTGTATATGTATTAACTGGTTCCTATAATGATTTTCTTTTGTGTTTCCAAGAACTCCTAACAATGTATTTTTCTAAAATACCTATCAAGTATCCAAGGCTGAACAATCTTCTGAACTAAGGTAATACCCTTATGGAAACAACACCTGTCTCCTAGGTCAGGCAGATAGCTTTATTTTTTGTGCAATTTAAGATGAGACCCTACTTTCTTATACAGCCTTACTAACATTATAGACTCCTAACTTCTTACCTAGCCACTTCTAGGAATGTAGATTGAGCACATAAATTCCCTTTCTGATATACTAACTGATATTAGCTCTCATTTGACCTCTTCCTTTAACCACTCCCTTTTTGGGTTGTAAAAGAAAGCCTGACAGTCACTGCCTGAGGAAAACTCTTACCTGTCTTTATGACTCTGTAGGAATTCAAGTCTTGTGACCTGGCTGGAGGGGGAGGATTGCTATTGCTTGGGTTTATAACTGAATAACCTAGAGAACTTGAGGACAGAGAACTGAGAGGGATAAGGAGTAGTTTGACTAGAGAACTTGAGGACAAGATGGAAGATGAGGAAGAGGCAGATGGGGAAGTACTAGATGGGTAAGAATGAGGTGAGAAGAACCTAGATGAGGCAGAATTAAGATGAGAGAACTAAGGTAGAACATAGAGGGGACAGCAGATAAATATAGAGAGAAATCAGGCAAGAAAGGAGCTAGGCATGAGAGCAGAACTGAAGCTGTGTAAACAGAATTTTATCCCAGAGGAATAAAGTAGATGGACAGAGAACTTGGTGTACTTAGATTCATTTCCCGAAAATAATTCTCACCATTCGTAGTTTCTCTTCTAGGCCCCTGGGAAGAATATTATTAAGGCTGATCCTTTAATAATATTTGAGACCTGGCACCCTTGGGTACCCAGACCCAGAAAAGTAATCAACCAAATATACCCAAAAAGGAGGGGTGTCCTTAAAAAGGAAATAAATAAATAAATAAATCCCTCAAAGAAATTTAGGAAAACACAGACAATACCTAAAAATGGAAAAAGAATCAACAAAGAAAACACAGGACAGAGTTTAATCAATAAAGAAAACTGAGGAATTCTGGCAATGAAACATTTAGGAATTCTAATGGATAACACAGGTGCAAGCTTCACCAACAGAATATAAGAGATGGAAGAGAGGATTTCAGGCACTGAAGGTATGATAAAAGAAATGGATACATCAGTCAAAGAAAATGTTAAATCTAAAAAAACTCCTGACAGAAAACATACAGGAAATCCAGGACACTATGAAAAATATCAAATCTAAGAATAATAGGAATAGAGGAAGGAGAAGAAACCCAGTTCAAATGCCCAGAAAATATTTTCAACAGAATCATAGAAGAAAATTTCCCTAACTTAAAGAAGGTGATGCTTATAATGGTAAAAGAAACATACAGAATACCAGATAGACTGGACCAGAAAAGAAAGTCCCTTTGGCACATAAAAATCAAACACTAAGTGTACAGAACAAGGGAAGAATATTAAAAGTTTCAAAGGAGAAAAACTAAATAATGCACAAGGGCAGAGCCATTAGAATTTCACCCAATTTCTCAATGGGGACTATAAAAGCCAGAAGGGCCTGAACAGATGTACTGCAGTCTCTAAGAGACAACAGATGTCAGCTCAGACTACTATACCCTGTAGATGTAACCAACCGTCTTATTAAATAAGAAACACAGAAACAATGTAAAAGAGAAAGCCGAGAGGTCAGAGCTCAGAGCTAAAATCT